TGGAGTGTGGAGATCACCACTGGCATCCGGCAAGGCAGCGGTGTGGTGCTGTACTACATGGTGGAGATTAGAGGAGCTAGAGAGCGAGGGGTCAGAGGAGAGGAGGAATGGAAATAGAGGTGTTTGGTTTCATTCTGAGTGGGAACTTCTCAGTTTCTCTTGGCACTTGTCGTGGGTCGTGGGTTTTGGCTGGGAAATAGGGAAGGGAAATAGGAGTGACAAATGGGATTTGGGATGGAGGATTGGGAATCTTGAGTAGACAAGTCAAGTACGAGCAGGATAGCTCATAGTCGGGTGCATAGCCTGGGTAGGTAAGTCATATATATATATATACACACACACTGGTCGGTCGGTTCGTTTAATTGCCAATTTTTCTTATAGGTTAACTGAAAACCATTTTTTAGAAAAAACCAACCGGAAGCCCCTTTCGAAAAGTGCATGCCTGGTGTGTCTTGTGTCTCAGCCCAGGTGTGTGCTTTTAAATGCCTTTCTTTTACTATATTTTTCAAATGGTCTATTAACTTTTAAAATAAAAAAGAAAACAAAAACTTCTTAAATATGTGAAGTCTTAGTTCATGCAAATAGGATCTCAAATAGCAAAATCTCCACTAAAGAAGCAGGAGCATACAACTAATATCCAATTTATAATACCAAAATAGAATGATCTATGACATACATATATGGGCCAGACTTTAGGTCAAGTGTGCTGTTCTGAACCCTCGTATGGACTTGTTTGGGCTTTTCCCTCAAATGGGTCTTTATGGAGGCAGAGGATTAGAAATGCAAAATGTTTAACATAACACTAGTTGCTTGAAGTATTGTAACAAGAAGGTAAATAAACAGACTGAAATTTTCATATGCTTGAATTGTTGAGAACTTGAAGAACTTCGCTATAATGCTTTTGTCTTCTTGTTTTCACTTCGAGTATGTTTTATATATTATGTTTGTTTTTAATTTGAGATAATTATTTTTAAAACATTGAATTTCTTTTAAAATCTATCTTGCATTTTTATGTATTACTGTTTATAAGTTCTTTATTTTTTCAAAAATTTGCCCCTTGCTTTGAAGAGGCACACACTTGGCCTTGCACCTTGGGTGCTAAAAGTCCTCGCACTTTTAAACTAGAGTGAGATATTATTATCTCATTCTCCAAAGCTCCCTCATATATGGTTCCATGTCATCTTCAAACAGTTTCAGGTCTTAGTAACGATGTCGCATAAAAATCATACTAAACATCAGCCTGCTGTGTCCATCACTGTTTCCATTGTTACTGGACGCCAGAGTTGCGAAGATGAGTTTTGAGTTTTGGAGGAGGGATATCAAATATCTAAAAAAAGTAAAACAGAACAAGCTTAAGGTTGTCCAGAAAACACATTCCACGTGACAATTGGACAGCATAGGTACTGCTTCATGGGAACGATAAAGATAGCATTTTTTTAGTTTTTGGGTTTTGGGAAATTAAGCTATTGTCTCATTGCACGGTGATACGAAAATTCATCAACTGTACTTGTAACTATTCTTTTTCATTAGTCAATAAAATTTCATCAACTGTACTTTGCAATGATTACTACAATGAATATGCTGGCCATAGTTCCTTCTGCTATATTGGCTTTTGTTCCCTTTTTCATTACTGGACTTTCTAGATATATTGATAAAAAAATCTAATAAAAATGAATATGTTTGGGAGGGAGAGGTTGGGATTTCTTTTTAGAAGTATCTCACTTGACATTCCAACATGTACTTCTCTAAACACACGTGCTACATAGAGCATACTGCATTAATATTGTAGCCTTGTAGCTTCTTCTGGAACCAAAAAGGAAACATATATACGAATGAAGGGGAAAAAAGTGAAGAATTTGAACTTTTTTCCCTTTGCGTTACATTCCAAAATTTGTATGGATTGAACAATCATTCATGTATTGACAGCTGAGAATCTACCTCGTCAGTTACTGGCACTTCTAGCATTAATGTCTAACGGTTTATTGGCTGGTTTTGCAGACAGAATTTGAGGCCTATCACATTCCATTCTCTTTTGCAGAAAGCTATGGCTTGTTAACATCTTTTGACGTTCAGAAGCTGCTTCGTCTTGAGTTCCACAACCTTATAAAGGGTTAATTGCATAACCCTTCAATTCTCGGAGAGCCAGATGTGGGAGTCCATGAAATGAAAATTCTCTAACTTCCTGCTATTACCTTACAACTGCCATTGAGTAGTTGAATGCAGCGCAAAACTAGCATTCCAGAACAAATCACTGGACTCTGGGAGGATGAAAACTGAAATCTTTGACACCACATTTGTCAGTGATCACCTTAGACGTGTTTTTGCAGTGGAGTTCTGGAGTTGCAAGTGTGGGGTGCGACAAAGTTTCTATTAGGGTTGATTGCAACTTGTTAGAGCCATTCTATCTAAATCCTTGTCTCCGGGTTCACAAATGTCCCTTTGGGGATTTAGACGTTGAGTTTTTCAGAGGAATTTCAATCTTTTGAAGTTCTACATAGAAAAAGAGCAATTAATCCCCTTGTGAAGTATTGTGACAGTGGAAAATACATAAATAAAAGATAATGATTTAGGAAATTCGTTCAATTTATTATTTCATTGATAATAGACTGAGATCTTCAAATTTTCATTGTGGAATGTGGAATGCATGATGGTATATAAAAAGAAGAAAGATTAGGGCTCTTCAGGAGCTATTCCCCTATGAGATTATGAGAAAAGTTTTAGTAGCTTATAATTGTAATCCATATGATGGATTGTGAAAATGGGAGGAATTGGAAATGAAGATCCTAAAGATGCATAACATGTATATTTTCATGGGCAATTACACATGTAAGAGGACACCTTCACATAACGAACAAAGTATCAACGTATCATACCGTATTGTGTTATACCTATCAGTTTTTGATGGGATTCTTTGCCAAAAAAAAAAAAAAAAAACTGCACATCAGTTTCATGGGTGGTATGCTATTTTTGCATTTAACATAAATGCATGGGGATATTCCTAATGTGCAACTGGATGCCGTTGTCCAATATTGGGTGGTATGCTATTTTTGCATTTCACCTATGTCGGTACTTTGAACCTTGATGTTACATATTGAAAGGAAGCGAAAAAAAAAAGAGGAAAAATATTGATAGGTGCTATATTCTGAATCCGAGCAACAAATAAAGAGAGAAGAGGTGGAGGAACTGAGTGGGCAAACCAGGGTGTTTATAAGGACTTACAAAAAAGCCAACAGTCCTAAGGTGTGCTCTTTGATGATTAAGTTAGAAAGCAAGAAATAAGTCATCGGAACGAGCAAAGAAGGTTGGTTGACAAGGAAAGTAGGAAAGCGAGGAGGCAAGAGATCTGTATTGGATGTCCTTATTTGGGTGCCAAGACTGACCCAAGATTCTTGATAGCGCATCCTTGTCTGGAAGTGCTTTATGCATGGGCAAGTTAGGCTAGGCGGCTTGGTGGTTGAGCCAGTTTGGGTCAGCGGGGAGCTCTTTGGTTCATCCAAGACACAATGGTATGGGCTTAGGTCATCAAGGCACTTGCTTAGGGAGTTTTCCTTCTTGTGGACCAGGTTGAGGCCTCCAAACACCGAATTAAGGTCCTCTAGAGTCATGCAGTTATCAAGATTATTGAGGTTAGTGACTTGCCTATCTGTTTTTTCTTTATTCTAGCTTGTTAGGGTTCTAACTTGCTCATTATTTGCAGGGGGTCTATGTGGTAAATGACTTGAGTGAATGTCTCGCCCTTGTGTCTCGTTAATACACTACAACAATGAAAGAGAAGGCTAATGTTGAGGTTGAGGTGGTGAAGTTGAAGGCCAAGTTGTTGGAGGCTTAGCTGGAGAAATGTGCCTCGAGTCATGGCCGAGTATAAAGAATCCATCAAGCACCATAAGGATTTGAATGCATATGGCATCCTTACTTTATTGGTTGGATTTGACGTTTGGAAGGCTCTTAGCAGTTTGCCAACCTAGGCCGTTGCTTTCTTAATTGAGAGGCAAAGTTTGAAGCCCTTTTTTGGATGAGTAATGAAATTTCTTCTTTCTATATTTTGAAACTTGGATTCTTCTATGCTGTTCATGCAATCACAAGGGTTAATGACAGCCGTATTTAATTTTTGGGATTTGATTGAGCATTTAATTTTCTATCTTCTTGTTAAGCTTTATTTATTTGACACTTGGGAGAATGAGAATAAGCTTGTTGCTTCAGGTTAGTGCCAAAAAAAAGTAAAAACCAATGAAAGATAAATAATTTTTTGGCTATTTTATTTCAAAGTTTCTAGATGTTGGTGAGTCCTTTTCTTTTCTTCTTTTTGAAGTGTTACCATTCTTTATTGAATATTGAAAGTGTAATGATATTACCAAAAGTACAGTGGCTGCAAAAGAAGATCAGCAGTCAGTCCCATCTATGTTTTGTTCATTTGGTAATGATATACCAAAAGTACAGTGGCCCAAAATGGACATTGTTTTATTTTTTGGTCATTAGGTTGATTTGTGGGGTTGAAGAGTTAAAGATTCTCCGGATTGATCCTCAGGTACCACTCAGAAGTTTTGTTCTAGCATGAAACTAATTCTGTTGAATCATGAAAGGAAGCAATTATTTTCTCAATTCACCAAATTATGTAGGGCCAGTTGCTTTGACTACAGGATGGTTATTACTAGCCTAGGGTTATTTTAAGACTAAAAGTAAATATTTGTTAGGTTTGGAAAAGTCTTGAGGCTTAACTGCAATAATTGCATATTTGCCTAAACTGTGAAAAGTTTTGAGTTGGGAAACATAGGTATATGGTTGGAGCTTTTCAATGAATCATCCATCTGCACCATCTTTAATTTTTATCAATCTAGCTATCTTATATAYTAATCATTTAATCTTAGTATTTTATGTGTTTAATTTTTTTTTTTGTTTATTCACTTTTCACTTTATAATTTCTATGCTACGAATTTATATATCCCTTCAGATGGCTAATTAAATTAATAGTAAAAACCACACTATATTTGAACAACAAAATATGATCAATGCTTGAACAAGAATTCATATTAGAGTTAACCTATTGTCTATTTGCTCAATCTTTGCAAATAAAAAAAGAAAACATAACCCATCACAAAAAGCTAAGAACAAGAAAAGGGAAAAGAACTCATAATAGATACTTAAGTACATCTACAGTACCAATTTGATCCAATCCAGTTCTGGGTCCAGGTGATAATTTAGCATCCACCACTACTCTGATCCAATCCTAATAAAATTCTCCCCTTCCCTACAACACTACAAATCAAATACTATTTCTGATTGCAGAAAATGTTAAAAAAAATCCTGTGGCATAGCCTATAGTATCTAAATAATGATACTATAAAGTCTAGCTAACGGAGCTTTGAAGCCCAAAGGTACTAACAGGTTAAACCAGTTCAGAGATTGTTTCAAACTTACTCTGATGTTGTGATGTGAAGAAGACTTCTGTAATGTGAAGAGAAACTCTAGTTAAGAGAGTATTAATATATTGGTTGCTGACAAATTATCACTGAGCCGCTCCCGCCAGCCATCATTGCAACCAGAATTAGCCATCAAGTCAATATTTCAGACTTTCAGTTGCCGCCTAAAAAATAAATGAAAATATAAAATATTAATACAAATAATAAATGAAACAAAAGAAAAATTAAATTAATTAATTAAGGCAAATTATCACAGAGTATTAATATATTCGCATAAATTATCACTGAACCGCTCCCACCAGCCAGCCATCAAGTCAACATTTCAGACTTTCAGTTGTCTGCTATCAAAAAAATACAAAAATAAATGAAAGTACAAAATATTAAAACAAATAATAAATGAAATAAAACAAAAATTAAATGAAATCAAAATAGGCAACACGTGGCCGTCCATCCAACACGTTGCCTTAATGCATGCTTATTAAATCAAATCAAATTAAACATACATTAATTCTAAATAAAATAAAAATTGATGATCTCGTCGAAGATTTTGAAGGTTGAAGCGTTGAATGCAACCTGTTAGACAACGTGTCCATATCAAGCAGCATGTGGCCTTTCATTCCAACACGTTGCCTTATTACTTGCATATTAAACCAAATCAAATTAAAAGTATAATAATTGTAAATAAACTAAAAATTAAACAAAATTACTGCCTAACCTGATCTCAGTATTGTCGGATGCCCATGGCACCTGATCTAGATCTGAACATGAAGGGACTCGAAGAATATCTCTGCGTACCACCAAACCTATCTCTCCAGTTCTCTGTCCTAACTTTACATCTTCAGAGAACTTCATCTGGAACACCAAGATCAGCACCAACTTCCAGATCTAAACAAAGGAGGTCGAAGAGTGTATCTGCGAAGCACCAAACCCTAACTCTCCAGTTCTCTGTCCCGACTTTAAGTCTTCAGACAGCTTCATCTGGAATACCAAACGAAGAAAGAGGGAGAAAGACAGAGAGGAAAGTGGAGAGGGAGAAAGCTAAAAATGAAAAACAAAGAAAGAGGGGGAGAGGGAGAGAGACGTCTCTGTAATAAAACGAAGAGAGAGCGAGAGAGACAGGAAAGGGGAGAAAGAGAAAGAGGGGATATAAAGAGAAAGTCAGAGAGGGAGAAAGGGGAAAATGAAAAATGAAGAGAGAGGGAGAAGGGAACTGGAGCGAGCAACACCAGATTTGGACAAAGGAGCAGGCAACACCAGATTTGAACAAAGGAGCTTGAAACTGATGTAACGATTTCTGGTCAAGTATCAGTTTTTTTGGCTAAGTACCTCGTTAGCTCGTCTGCTCTCAAGTGTCCTGTTACTCAAAGGCTGAAGTGGAGATCCTTGGTGGCAAACTACCTAGTGGCAAACTGTGTAGTGGTGAACTACCTTGATGAGCTGCTTGGTGGTGAATTACCTTGATGAATTGCCTGGTGGTGAACTACCTTGATGAGCTGCCTAGTGGTGAGCTACCTTGATGAGCTTTGTTACTCTTTAGGGCCTGCAATTAACCAAATGTGAGAGGACTCAGGGTGGCTAACTCGGCGAGGTCACTCCGATGCCTAACTTAGCACTTAGTGGAGAGCTGAGAATGATATTAGAGAATGGGAGAGCTAGAGAGCAGAGGTTACCCATCATTTTTTCGCCCCTGGGGTGAGGTCTTTATATACGGGAGTCCTCGTGTGTTAGGTGGAGCAGTTCCTGGATTTCTGTTGTGATGGAACTTGTTTTCGTGTTAGGTGGGGATAAAGCCACTAACTGGTAAGGTTGCCCATTTTCGCCTAACTCGGGGAGTGGGTGAGCTAATATAGCCATTACAAGTCACAATCCTGTAAAATGCAGGGTGCGGTGGTGAGCTCCTTGAGATTGTCAGGTTGGCGCCTATGTCAGGCTGCCAGGTTGGTGCTTGGGCCAGGCCGCCAGCTTGTATCAGGGCCAGGTCGCGCTAGGGCCAGGCTGCTAGCTCGCGCCAGGGCCAAGCTGTTAGCTCATGCTAGGGCCAGGTCGCGCTAGGGCCAGGCTGCCAGTTTGTGTTAGGGCCAGGTCGCACTTGGGCCAGGCTGCTAGCTCGTGCCAGGGCCAGGCCATGACCTAGTTGCCAAAGTGGTCCCGGGTGTCACTTAGTTGTTCTGAGGCGCCAGGTGTCATAATGTCATTGGAGGGCCAAATCCGCTCTCATCATGAACAGAGGAGCTCAAAACCCTAACTCTTCTGTTCTCTATCCCGACTTTACATAGAAGTGAAAGAAAGAGGGAGAGGGGGAGAGAGAGAGGTTTCTGAGAGAGGTGAGAAGAAAAGGGAGAGAGAAAGACGGGACACAAAGAGAAAGGGAGAGAGAGGAACAAAAAATTGATAAACACCCTTCGGCAATTTCATACGTGCGCTACAAGATTCCATTTACTCAAAATATATTGCCACATATTGTTTACTTAAATATATCTTATATAACAATGCTATGTTTTGATAACGTAGAGGAAGGTGGATGTAAATTCTATGTGGATAGGAACAAAGCATAGGGAGAAGACTCATTAAAGGAGAAACCTTTAAATTTTCTAAGTCTTTAATTGAATTAGTATTAAACCGAACAAGGACAAGACAGAATACTTGCAGTACTAGTAATTTGGCTTTCCATTGCAAAGATGAGCACGGGAAGACCTTTGTTGGTTTATGAAATTGTTATATCATATAATATGCTTATTAAAGTGTTGGATTTTGGATATATCCTATCGGAATGGATAAATAATGTATTAAATATGACTAACTCATTCATTTCAAAGTTGAGATTACATGAATGAATTGTCTAAGTGAATGTGAAAGGGTACTTTGTATATATTACTTCTATCCTTATTACAACTTTAGAGAATCTAATAAATTGTTATTACATCTGTCCTCATCATGTGTAAGTTAGATGGAGTATATATATATATATATCAGATAGTCTAACACGTTAAAATTTGTTTATTTTTCGTTTTCATTGGTCCAAGTTTCATAAAATATTCTTTTAGGTTTAGTTAGACCTGGCAAAAAGTTGACCCAACTCGTGACCCAACCCAACCCGAAAAAACAGGGTTAGGGTCTCAGATTTAGCTATTTGAATGTGAGAATGGCCCGACCCGAAAAAAACTGGGTTGGATTGGGTCATGGGTCAACTCACTAACCCGATTGTCAAGTCTAATTGGGACTATTTATGCATTGTTAGAAGTTTCCACTCTTTATTTTTTTCTATTTAGTCTTACTCTTTAAATTGTTAAATGTTCAAGTTTATATTTGGAATTTTAAGGTTAATTCCTTTAATTTTGGCATTTTTCATGTAGTTTTTCTTTATTTTTTTTAAATTTCAGTTATTTTTTGGGATGACCAGAATTGACCAATGGGTCAACCCTAATCTGAACATTTAGGGTTAGGGTCTAGCATTTGATAACCCAACCCGAAATTCAAACCAACCCAAAATCAACCCGAAGTGTCTTGACCCAACCCGAACCTGACCCATCCAATCCAATTGCCAGGTCTAGGTTTAACAAAATATACTTGCCATTATGTTCAAATAATCACGTCTTTTGTTATTTTGTGCAACAGATGCACCATAAATTTTGCCCCAGAATAAATTAGCATATTGATATGAAAATTGGCCATAAAATTCTCTAGATTAGTCCATTCACTAGTTGTTCTGGACCCATCATCCATGTGACATGTCTTATTCTTTGTGGTTAATTGAATTAATGTGAAAAATTATGCATAAAAACCAAATGTGACACCTATAAGAGTGTAGATAAGGCTACTACCTACTATAGAGTTGTAGTTTTGAGTTAAGGATGGTAAAAAGTCTATCTAGCATAACCTAAAAATTGTAAGGCTGAATTATTTTAGAATTACATGATGATAGTGATAATTTAATTTGACCAAATTATCTAAAAACCTCTCTTTGCTTAATAGACAATGTCTAAAATTTCCCTAGCTTTTAGATATCTCTATGGAACCCCCTATAAAAAGAGTGATTATCAAATGGTAAAATGACCCTACATGCCCCACTTAATGCCATCTAATCTATTTTTAATGTGACACAAATTGTTATAGAACTGGCTTAGATTTCTCACTTCATCCAACTTCTAATCCCTCATTAATCTCTTACAACATAAAGATTGGCATAGCTCAAGGAAAGGCCTGGGAACATATGATAATGAGAATAGACTCCTCATGATAGAATACTTAACTTCTATTGGACATGCATATTTCAATAAATTCTCTCTCCTATATGGGTTTAAAAAGTCCATCCAAAACTGAAAAATGCCTAAGTTTTTAATTTTGTTATTTTTGTAGTGTAATAAGAACATATGTACAAGGACAAATAATTTTAATAACCCTAACTCAACCCGTTAAATTCTTAGCATCTATAATAAGGGTAGATGTAATAAGGACAACTATTTTAATAATCAAATGTCTAAAATGTAAATTTATCCATTCTATAAATGTAAGGGAAACCGATATTGTAAAATGTAAGAGATAGCATAATCTCTCCTAATCAACCATAATGATCCTCATCTATACAATAATCAATATTTTAACTAGAGTGATACCAACATGTGATAGAAAAGTTAAGTTTGTCTTCGTTTGAGGTGTAAAGGAAAAACTCTATCGATGTAAAAGAAGACTGGTCCATCATGTAAGCGCAAAAAATGAACCAGATAGATGGGAGCTTTTACACTGTTGTGCGTATTTTCTGTATGCATTTGGATGAACAATGGTGTAAAACTATACCCATGTATCCATGACAAATAAGATTGTCAACACTATAGTAACTAAGAGATGAAGCAACAATAATTAATTATATATTTATTTCTCTAGAGCTTCCTCCCTTACTTTCTGTGATAAATTCGTCACAGACTGTGTGGTTGGTGGTGTTGGAGTGTTAGTATATAAACACGTCTAAGGTCTAACCCAATTTGTCAAACTCAATCAACCCACAAAGCTTGTATCCTCCACACAACCCTCTTGTAACACTGCTGGCTTTAGCTGTAATCTATGTGTCTTCCACTGAACGCCTCGACAGTAGAAGATTATTCTTCCACTGTAACAAGCATGTGTTATAAAACCCAAGCTCTAGGATTGTAAAGCCAAACTATGAAGGAGATATTCCTCCTTCAAAAATTGCTCGCATTCCTCTGAGCGTCTTTGACAAGGTCACCTACAACACCCACATAGATGTAACCTATGTGTACCGACCACCAACCCCTCCAAATGCAACCATAGAGCAAGGCCTCGGCAAGGCCCTAGTAGAGAATAGAGAGTGGGGTAGCAGATTGGGAGMAAATGACAAGGATGACCCTCTCATTTTGCTCAACAACCATGGCATCAATTTTATGGAAGCATCGCTCCACTACACGCCTGACCAGACCATGCCCTTCAACCCATCACCAGCTTTGCTGAGCCTCCACCCCAATCTCAAGGAGACAGAAGCCTTGCTCTAGGTTCAACTCACAAGGTTCACTTGTGGGTCGTTGGTGGTAGGGTTTACAGCCCATCACCTGGTCGTCGACGGCCATTCCACCAGTAAGCTGGGGCATCAAGATGAACCCTCGTCCCCTGCATAACCACACCATGTTTGCTCCTCGAGACCCTCCTCTGATCGAGTTCAAACACAGAGGTGTGGAGTACATGAGCAGGAAGTTCACCTAGCCCAACTAGCAGAACGACAGTGAGAGGGGCTTGCGATGTGCTGGACAATGAGAGAGAGACGATCAGAGGAGACGAAGACAAAGAGCCATTGGCTTGATAATCAAAGTAAAACAAAAACGAAAATCACTTTTACACGGGTTTTCGATGTATTTTTACACCCCATCTAAACGACCGCAAAATTGGACTGGAATGTAAAAATACACCGAATTGGATTTTACACTCCATCCAAATGCAGCCTAAGAGAAAATTTTACTTTAGTACCTTGAACTTTGAGGGTAGTGTCAAGTTGGTACCCAAACTTTCAAATGTGTTACTGTAGTACCTAAATTTTAAAAAAAGTGTCAAGTTGGTCCCTACCGTTAACTGACCACTGGTTATCTATTGAAAATGTCAAAACTACCATTCAAAAGAAGACACGGTTCATTGTTTTCTACCTTGAGACTGAACCGGTTATCTTCAAAGAAAAAAAGAGAAAATCATGAAATATGATAGAGGGAAACAATAACTGAAAGCAAAAAAAGAACTAAACAATAAAGTATTTTAGATCTAAAGGTAGACGACAATGGCTACATTAGTCTAGAATCTCAAACACCTAAACTGGTTCAGTCGCAAAGTAGAAGACAATGAACAATGTCTTTTTTTGAAGGGTAGTTTTGACATTTTCAACAGATAAGTTGCAAAAATTAGGGTTTCAAGAGAGTGAAAGAAAGGAGAGAAGAAAAGAAGAAGAAGAGGAAGAAGAAAGGGAAGTGTCGAGAGTATGTAATGTTCATTGTTCACACCTTCAAAAGTTCACTTTATAATTGAAAATTAATAATTACAAGAAGGTCCTTATCCAGGTGCCCAAATACAAAGAGAGTAAAAGAAAGGAGAAAAGACCAAAAACATCCCTGTTTAACCATTCTCAACACTCCCCCTCAAGCTGAGCATATTATGTTAGTCATACCTAGCTTGGAAAGGTTCTTAGCAAACTTTGGATGGTGAACACCTTTCGTGAGGCAATCAACTAGTTGGTCTTCTGACCTTACAAAAGGAAGGCAAATCTCTCCGCTAACAATTC